ATTGGGGACACCATCAGGTAATCCGTGATGTGCCGCAGCACCGGGTTCTGGGCCTGTGACAGTGACAATGGGGACACTGGGGACATCATTGGGGACATTGGGGACACTGGGGACATTGGGGACATCATTGGGGGATTGGGGACACTGGGGACATCATTGGGGACATTGGGGGGATTGGGGACATTGGGGACATCATTGGGGACATTGGGGACATTGGGGGGACATTGGGGACATCATTGGGGACATCATTGGGGACATTGGGGACATCATTGGGACATGATCAGGTAATCCGTGATGTGCCACAGCACCGGGTTCTGGGCCTGTGACAGTGACATTGGGGACATCACTGGGGACATCATTGGGGATTGGGGACATTGGGGGGACATTGGGGACATCATTGGGGACATCATTGGGGACATCATTGGGGATTGGGGACATTGGGGACATCATTGGGGATTGGGGACATTGGGGACATCATTGGGGACATTGGGGACATTGGGGGGACATTGGGGACATCATTGGGGACATCATTGGGGACATCATTGGGGACATTGGGGACACCATTGGGACACGATCAGGTAATCCGTGATGTGCCGCAGCACCGGGTTCTGGGCCTGGGGGACATTGGGGACATTGGGGGGACATTGGGGACATCACTGGGGACACTGGGGACACGATCAGGTAATCGGTGATGTGCCGCAGCACCGGGTTCTGGGCCTGGGGGGACATTGGGGACATCATTGGGGACATTGGGGACACTGGGGACATTGGGGACATCACTGGGGACATTGGGGACATCATTGGGGACACTGGGAACATTGGGGACACCATCAGGTAATCCGTGATGTGCCGCAGCACCGGGTTCTGGGCCTGTGACAGTGACAATGGGGACACTGGGGACATCATTGGGGATTGGGGACATTGGGGACATCACTGGGGACATTGGGGACACTGGGGACATTGGGGACATCACTGGGGACATTGGGGACACTGGGGACATTGGGGACATCACTGGGGACACTGGGGAGGTTTGGGGACATCGGGGACACTGACAGGACTC